ATAAATGTTTAAATGATATATCACGTATAATTGTATTGAAAAATCATACGTTCTACTCTATTCATTTCGAATTAGTTTACATTAAGTCAACTAAGCAAAAGGTATATGGACTATAGTTCAGTCTGGTTTTAAATACCTCGATCATTAATGTAACAAATTAAATAGGTTAAACAAAAATACTTTGTGTTTGAAAGTGTAACCAATTCTCTCTATGATTCCAATGCATTTGACCTATATGCATATATACGTCAGTTGTGTGCGTCTGTAAATTCAATTTTGTAAACATCACCACATAAGTATCATAAATGAGAAGTGCACATAAATCTTAAGCGATAAACTACCTTGATATATAAATTCATAATTTGAATTACACTTTATTGAATAGAATTTATAAACGTAAATTATTTGTTTGTATGTAGGTGTGTATCAATGACGGTGATTTGAACACGATGTAAAGTCTATAGAAATTTTATAATCCTTACAAAGACCTACACTGAGAACAGTTTTCTGTCATAAAGCTCTCCCACAGGACCAGAATGAAATCGTTAGGAAGAACTATAGTTGAACCTAATAACTAGGATCACTTTGATGGAAAAACGAGTTATCTACAAGCTGATTCTCTCCAATCGTCTATCAGAATTTATCATGTTTATTTTGTACTAAATTTTCCATGTCATTTTATTGCACACAAAATCCTATTCTTCAGACTATCGACGTTCTCTATTATTCCTATGCATTCATAGGCTTGCGTCAATAATACATTCTCGTTCTCGGTCATCACATCATATCATCGAGTCCATATATCAACTAGCATTTTACCCATTAATTTGAAACGTGGAAAATCCCGTTCAACAACTCATATAATACTCAACTGAAGCACAAATCACAAGTTTGTTACTCACAGAGGACGCAGCAACTATGACACGATAGTCCTTGTTCTGATTATCTCACCAGAACAACGTGACACGATTTTATTTGTATTTATCATTTAACCCTGTCAGGAAGCTTCATTTTGTTGGCTTAATACATTGTCTCGTTTTAAAGTCTTCTGAATAAAAACATGCGACAACCTGATAATAAGCGAATGATTTTGAACTGAAATGATTAAAGTAATGAAAACTGACAAGATATTCTGCACTGATGTGCATGTGTATTTGAAACTTCTAGATAAATTACTCGTCAACTTTTTGAAGTGCCTAGGACCAACAAAGTGAACAGATAATTGGATAAACGTTTCAGTCAATGGTAATGTCTTGAGTTGACATAGTGAGTGAAGTAGGTATGAATTTATTGGGTGGTATCATCTCTCTTGAAATTCCAGATATACCTCACTGATAATTGTCAAGTAGCAAGTGACTTGGACAAAGATGTTTTCTTTAGTTTCCTTCAATCAACTGGTGTGTATTTAATTCATGGTATGTTTTGAAGAGCGCATGACTGAATTGCTACAGGCTTACTGCAAGCTACGGATATGAACTTCTCGTCATTATCCAAACTCGTCGATTCTTTAGGGAATGTAGATTTTCCAAGTAGATTAATGTCATCTTTGGAAGTTTGTTTTATTCGAGTTGATCCCGTCAGATGGAATAATTTATTTCGTATATTATTGAGATTTGTGTGACACAATGAGCAGAAGGGATCGTTTTGACGAACATTGAGAAATTCCTTGAATTATATCTCTATCTGTGTAACCTCTATTGAATATTCATTCGACATATGTTGGCATGTCTAAATTTGACTTAGATATCAACCAAACAAAGGTTGATGATACACCGTTTTCTTAAAACAGGGAAATTCATACTCGTACTACGGAGTACAGTCTATTTCTACATGATTTTTCGGTAGAATAAAATCTCAGTCACATATAAATTCAGTTTTGTTGTACCTGAATAAACAGGCAATAGATCATTTGAAAACATTATTAATGAAGGAGTTTACATAGAAGAATGAAACGATTAGTACTTCATAACTAAATTCTATATTGACAGTAAACAAAATTTTACTCGTTATGTTCACTTTGCAGATCAATTAACCACATTCTGATTCATGTTGTTATGTGAAAAATTTGTAATAAGAAGAAGTTCCTCAAAATTTACGTTCCCAACCTAAGGTTTATACTCTGGAATCGATTGTTGATAATGAGCATCTCTACAACTATTCAGAAAGCAACGTGAAACAGATATGTGGAATAAATAAATTACATGAAGCTATAAGATGAAAATCTTTCTAATTGATAGTAATGATAAAAATAATAAATTCACTTCATACCATACATTTAGTCACAGTGGGGAGTTCTCAGCATTAATTGTGTCATGCTACAGAAAATGGTTCTCTAGCATTCATTTAAATTGTAAGAATTCAACACTTTCAACAGTCCGCATCTTCCACTCGTATACAATCATCAACTTTTTCTATCAGTTCACTTGTTTCAGCTAGTAAATCACTGAATTAGGTGGATATAGGTTGTCCGTAGTATACAAGCAGTGCGAATCACATACGGTAATTAAAATATTCACATTATTATCAATAATTCACTGGTACAAATCTGGAGATAGTGATTTCCATGGCTTCCACCTTTAATTTCACCTTTGGTCTATTCACCAATATTCAATGCATGTACACTCGTTTCCGATAAACAAACAATGCAAATTCTCAATTGTTTCCCTTCTCATCATTCACTCCATAGCAATCTGTTCAAATTGCATTCCTCTAAGAACACAACATCATAGAAGAAACATTTATTGATTTCGTGAAATAATATGTTGTGATATATGGCTTCGAAATATCAGTATGAATGTGTTGACTATCAAACTTAATAAATTCAATACTTTTGTGGAATACATGTTATCCCGTGTGATAGTAATTTACTCGGACATAGGTGAATAAACATTAAATGGTTTGTAGACTAATACATGATGAACAGTGCTTTAATAAACGGTTTGCACGGTTTTGTTTCTTCGATATACTCATGTGATTGATTGAAATTGTCACGTGGCGACAGTATTACCTAGTCAGTCATCATTGTGAATTGCCAACAAACCTTAGAATAATACAAGATAAGAGGGTAATCAGACAACTCTATCATGTTGCAGTTAAACTTAAGTGGTTTCTTTCTCAATCGCGTTCTATATCCAAGGGGAAACACATTAAATTGCATTATATTGGAAATTGTGTTTCAATAAAATCATATGCAGAACATGATTGGTGAAAGTTGCACTAGTATTGCTGTTGAATATAAAAGACAACGATTATATATGAGCTCACATTGCACGAAATAGATTTTTCATCTGAATTACCGATGTGGTACAACGAAGTAGACAACTCTCTTCCAAATCTTTTACAACCTGATTACCCACTGATTCATCAATACTTTTGAGATTGATCACCACCCATTTCTTGAAAATATAAATTAATTTCAGTTGCACAGAAATGTTTTCTATTTTGTGCATCTTTCAGTATATTGCTCAGTAGATCTGTTTATTTGTTTACTTATTTATCTAATCTAATCTACTTTGCTCTCATCTAATCTATCCATCTATTTCGCTGAACTTATGATTACTTGCATCCGTATTCAACTTGTTACTCCAATTGTTTCCTTTGAAATGTCTTCTCAATATTTCATTTTACTGTGGATGGATTTAATTTTAGATGAAATTATGTGATTTTTTCCTAAATGACAAAATTTCTCAATGATTTATTTATTACATGTAATGTTTATTCATTGTTTGCCTTTGCTATAGACTATGTGATTTATCTCTTAACACCTTCTATCAATAGCATTTTATATCAGTTTATGATAGTGGTTGTCATAAGCACATTTATTCTTTAGGAACATTGAAAACAAGAAAAAATTAGGACTTCCCGATATTTCTTTATGCCCAGACATTTTGTTAAATAACCGTTAATTATATTTGTGGTATATGATGAGGTCAAATCACATCATTAGCATATTCTATCCCAATTAAGTTATAAATTTCAGCGACATGTGATGTGAATGAGTTTCATATCGAGATAATAAGTAGACGGATACAAATCGACTACAAAATATGTGACGAAAACTAAATTTGTTAAATCAATCCAATTTTCTGTTTTAATGTATATGTAAATATATTTGTTGAAATGAAATCATTTTTCACTCGATTCTTCTCAAGGGTGAAGGAAACCACCAGAATCGAGATCTGAAACCATCATTATAATTCTTTTCAACCTATCAGATTTAGATACCATTTACAGTTGTGCGCTTAAGTTAACAAGATTACTTTTCTTTTCGTCTTCTAAATTAACGTCTTGATTTATCTAACCTGAATTTATTTTAACCGTATTGAAAATCCCCAAATTAATCTTTAACGACAAATGAATTAAAAATTTTCTCATCCCCAAACAGAAACTTATTTCCCACTAAAGGACCTATAAAAGTTGATGAGAGCTGTGACCCATAGGTCGTTACCGTTTCATAATCAAACATTTAAGTGGATGCGGAAATGTTAACACATAAAAATATCATCTATCTATAATTATCTACTAATGACCTTAGTACCAGTTAACTATCGACAGTCTACTCCAATTGCGAATTCTCAGACAGTCGTAAGTCATTCTAGCACACAAACTTTATGCACTCGCATGAAAGCTCGAAAGTTGATGTTTATCAGGTCAAACACACATTGAAATGTCTGGTTTTGAAATAATCTATCGAAATGTATTTAGCAACAAAGTCAAACACTTATTGATGTGGAATATGAAATAGATCGGAACATCGCGGTCTATCCAATCACATGTGACAATCGATTAGACTGCTCGGTGTATGAATCGTTCAATGATCACACGAGTAAACGCACACATCTAATAATTGAATTATTAATGCCAATGACCTTATTGATGAACATAAACACTCGATGACCCATTCGCACAAACATACACGTTCAAACATAAACAACGTGAATCGGTAATATATAAAAGGAAGAGAGTAATCCATTTGTAAAGTTGAAAGTCTCCATATCACGATGAAAACAATCTTCATTCTCTCCCTGGCTGTCTGTTTTTTCGCTGTTCAAACCGAGTTAGACAATAAATCTTGACATTACCATGTTAATATGAAGCCATATTTTATATTTAAATATACATATAATCACTGATAATCATAGATATCTAGTGTAAATACATGTTTAAGTGAATATATGTGGACACTACATGAATAGGTTTTTATCTGTTATCAATACAGTTTTTCATGGTGTTTAAAAATGCAAGTTTCTTTCAATAGAGGGTAAATATTCACTGTCAGCGTTTACAAAGATATTAGATAAGCTCTTGCCATATCATTAATCAAATAGAGCTAGAAACAACAGAAATTTATTTCAGAATTGTCAGGATATTCACTGTGAACAGAATAACATATTTGCTGTCCAGTTATCTGCCCCTGGATTGAAACTGTTGTGACTGTTTATAGTGGAAATAAAACGGTGTATATGAAAAATAAATAAATAAACACTATCTATATCACACTTTATTAATACTGTACTGAAATGTAAACTAATTAGTAAAATTTCTTTGTTTTCTTTTCTTCCTTTATTGTTTAGATGTAACTCCGGTCCTGCGATGAATAGTTTGGTAGGTTCTTGAAACACAATACTCCTATCAGTAACATTTAAAAATGTTCAGTTTCTAGAGGCTGCACAAACTTTTGGAAGTCTGAAAATATGCGCGACCAAAACCAATGGAATGGTGGAGGAATATTTCAAAGAAGATGGTTTGGGTCAGAAGGTGAATGAAGTTGTGCATATTCGTAAGTCCCACTATCAAAATATCAATGATATGGACAATGATCTTTATAATAAACTGATCACGAACAGGCAGATAAATAGATAGATAGATTATATAATATTAGATTAAATAAGTAAATAAATAAAATAAAAAGATCTACTGAGCAACATACTGAAAGATGCACAAATAGAAACCGTTTCTGTGCAACTGAAAATGATTTATATTTTCAAGAAATGGGTGGTGATCAATCTCATAAGTATTGATGAAACGGGTTGGAAATTTACATATGATTCATTACACAGTCTTTTGTCTAGTGATAAGATTTTGATAATTTTATGTTCGTTGGAAACCTATTTCATGGTCAATATATTCTGGATAGTAAGAATTTTTAATGTGATTTTCAACTTTTCTTAATTTCAGTTCTTCAACGACTTAATAAACGTTTTAAAAGGATTTGCTCATGAACTCACAACTACCTGTCAATTAAGCAATCAGCCCGATTGTGCCAATAAAAATGCATGGACAATCAACCACTGAAAATAATTTACAATCGATTGATTATATTTGTAACTAAAACGTTTCTTTCTACATGTTTTCAATGTGTAATTTAATAAAATTTGTATACTGTCCACAATTTGAGTTGCTTTTGTTTGATCTGGAATTCAAGTTCCATTCATGCACTAGTGCATCTGTCATTCAACAATTCAGATCTCCTATAATCAATATGTCGTTTAAGTGGTCCCATTCGTACGGAATAATTCATCTGGAACTTAAGGCACTGGTAAAATATAGTTAGTTATACGATCGAGATTCACTTATTAATTGTGGATGTGATTTAATGGATGTTTGCTTCATTGTTATGTATTCTTGTAGAATTTATGGAATAATGAAACATCCGATTTACCAGCCATTATTGTGTGTACGTGAGAAGGATGAATGCTTCACACATTACTCGTCTTCATGCTTGGTTTATAGATAACTGTGAGAAATTCAACAGTCTCTGAGCTGAAACGAAATGATAGAAGTTATCTACTAATTTTTATGGTAATTTCGTGAATGTTCGTCTATATACTTCAGTAAATTTATAGCGATAACAGTCTTAGTTATTGAAGAGTAAGACAAGTGATTTTCAAATTGAGTTTAGGGTAACTTATATTGGTTGGTTGATGTAATCAGGTTGTACAAGATTTGGAAGAGAGTTGTCTACTTCGTTGTACCACATCGGTAATTCAGATGAAAAATCTATTTCGTGCAATGTGAGCTCATATATAATCGTTGTCTTTTATATTCAACAGCAATACTAGTGCAACTTTCACCAATCATGTTCTGCATATGATTTTATTGAAACACAATTTCCAATATAATGCAATTTAATGTGTTTCCCCTTGGATATAGAACGCGATTGAGAAAGAAACCACTTAAGTTTAACTGCAACATGATAGAGTTGTCTGATTACCCTCTTATCTTGTATTATTCTAAGGTTTGTTGGCAATTCACAATGATGACTGACTAGGTAATACTGTCGCCACGTGACAATTTCAATCAATCACATGAGTATATCGAAGAAACAAAACCGTGCAAACCGTTTATTAAAGCACTGTTCATCATGTATTAGTCTACAAACCATTTAATGTTTATTCACCTATGTCCGAGTAAATTACTATCACACGGGATAACATGTATTCCACAAAAGTATTGAATTTATTAAGTTTGATAGTCAACACATTCATACTGATATTTCGAAGCCATATATCACAACATATTATTTCACGAAATCAATAAATGTTTCTTCTATGATGTTGTGTTCTTAGAGGAATGCAATTTGAACAGATTGCTATGGAGTGAATGATGAGAAGGGAAACAATTGAGAATTTGCATTGTTTGTTTATCGGAAACGAGTGTACATGCATTGAATATTGGTGAATAGACCAAAGGTGAAATTAAAGGTGGAAGCCATGGAAATCACTATCTCCAGATTTGTACCAGTGAATTATTGATAATAATGTGAATATTTTAATTACCGTATGTGATTCGCACTGCTTGTATACTACGGACAACCTATATCCACCTAATTCAGTGATTTACTAGCTGAAACAAGTGAACTGATAGAAAAAGTTGATGATTGTATACGAGTGGAAGATGCGGACTGTTGAAAGTGTTGAATTCTTACAATTTAAATGAATGCTAGAGAACCATTTTCTGTAGCATGACACAATTAATGCTGAGAACTCCCCACTGTGACTAAATGTATGGTATGAAGTGAATTTATTATTTTTATCATTACTATCAATTAGAAAGATTTTCATCTTATAGCTTCATGTAATTTATTTATTCCACATATCTGTTTCACGTTGCTTTCTGAATAGTTGTAGAGATGCTCATTATCAACAATCGATTCCAGAGTATAAACCTTAGGTTGGGAACGTAAATTTTGAGGAACTTCTTCTTATTACAAATTTTTCACATAACAACATGAATCAGAATGTGGTTAATTGATCTGCAAAGTGAACATAACGAGTAAAATTTTGTTTACTGTCAATATAGAATTTAGTTATGAAGTACTAATCGTTTCATTCTTCTATGTAAACTCCTTCATTAATAATGTTTTCAAATGATCTATTGCCTGTTTATTCAGGTACAACAAAACTGAATTTATATGTGACTGAGATTTTATTCTACCGAAAAATCATGTAGAAATAGACTGTACTCCGTAGTACGAGTATGAATTTCCCTGTTTTAAGAAAACGGTGTATCATCAACCTTTGTTTGGTTGATATCTAAGTCAAATTTAGACATGCCAACATATGTCGAATGAATATTCAATAGAGGTTACACAGATAGAGATATAATTCAAGGAATTTCTCAATGTTCGTCAAAACGATCCCTTCTGCTCATTGTGTCACACAAATCTCAATAATATACGAAATAAATTATTCCATCTGACGGGATCAACTCGAATAAAACAAACTTCCAAAGATGACATTAATCTACTTGGAAAATCTACATTCCCTAAAGAATCGACGAGTTTGGATAATGACGAGAAGTTCATATCCGTAGCTTGCAGTAAGCCTGTAGCAATTCAGTCATGCGCTCTTCAAAACATACCATGAATTAAATACACACCAGTTGATTGAAGGAAACTAAAGAAAACATCTTTGTCCAAGTCACTTGCTACTTGACAATTATCAGTGAGGTATATCTGGAATTTCAAGAGAGATGATACCACCCAATAAATTCATACCTACTTCACTCACTATGTCAACTCAAGACATTACCATTGACTGAAACGTTTATCCAATTATCTGTTCACTTTGTTGGTCCTAGGCACTTCAAAAAGTTGACGAGTAATTTATCTAGAAGTTTCAAATACACATGCACATCAGTGCAGAATATCTTGTCAGTTTTCATTACTTTAATCATTTCAGTTCAAAATCATTCGCTTATTATCAGGTTGTCGCATGTTTTTATTCAGAAGACTTTAAAACGAGACAATGTATTAAGCCAACAAAATGAAGCTTCCTGACAGGGTTAAATGATAAATACAAATAAAATCGTGTCACGTTGTTCTGGTGAGATAATCAGAACAAGGACTATCGTGTCATAGTTGTTGCGTCCTCTGTGAGTAACAAACTTGTGATTTGTGCTTCAGTTGAGTATTATATGAGTTGTTGAACGGGATTTTCCACGTTTCAAATTAATGGGTAAAATGCTAGTTGATATATGGACTCGATGATATGATGTGATGACCGAGAACGAGAATGTATTATTGACGCAAGCCTATGAATGCATAGGAATAATAGAGAACGTCGATAGTCTGAAGAATAGGATTTTGTGTGCAATAAAATGACATGGAAAATTTAGTACAAAATAAACATGATAAATTCTGATAGACGATTGGAGAGAATCAGCTTGTAGATAACTCGTTTTTCCATCAAAGTGATCCTAGTTATTAGGTTCAACTATAGTTCTTCCTAACGATTTCATTCTGGTCCTGTGGGAGAGCTTTATGACAGAAAACTGTTCTCAGTGTAGGTCTTTGTAAGGATTATAAAATTTCTATAGACTTTACATCGTGTTCAAATCACCGTCATTGATACACACCTACATACAAACAAATAATTTACGTTTATAAATTCTATTCAATAAAGTGTAATTCAAATTATGAATTTATATATCAAGGTAGTTTATCGCTTAAGATTTATGTGCACTTCTCATTTATGATACTTATGTGGTGATGTTTACAAAATTGAATTTACAGACGCACACAACTGACGTATATATGCATATAGGTCAAATGCATTGGAATCATAGAGAGAATTGGTTACACTTTCAAACACAAAGTATTTTTGTTTAACCTATTTAATTTGTTACATTAATGATCGAGGTATTTAAAACCAGACTGAACTATAGTCCATATACCTTTTGCTTAGTTGACTTAATGTAAACTAATTCGAAATGAATAGAGTAGAACGTATGATTTTTCAATACAATTATACGTGATATATCATTTAAACATTTATATCAGTATTTAGACCGTTATTTCAAGTCACCACAATTGATCGATTTGTGTGTTCTCCATTAGAATGGTGGTTGGATTCGAAGATGACCGTGAATCTCAACTGTATTCATGTAACCAAGTGCAGTTTAGTAACGAGAAGCGAATTCTAAAGATGATTTTCAACATTGGTAGAGACCAGTTAGGGACTCGTTGGAAATCTCGAATTATTGGACAGTTTCTTTATTATATATTATCATGCCTGTATGGTTTCCAACGGATCAAATCGAAAATAGAGTCCTGCATCAATCAAGTATTATTAGTAGATTGTAGGTTTTATCCTGTTGGATCATTTCCTTCTTTCTAATCAGTTGACGATCATGTGAAATCAATTACAGTTATCATCACTTTGGACAGAGGTGGTTTTGCAGGATCAATCTCTTCAACTACTTTTAGGGTGATTCATTCACTGAATAGTAGTATAGGATTATTCATTAAAATTTTCGCGAATATTTACACTTACTAGTATATTACAAGGAGTCAGATTATTAATCCATCACTTGTTTAACTTTTTCACTAACCACTATCTATTGTGAAGTGTAGTTAGACGACGTGGTTTTGAGATAATGAAAATAATTCTGATCGGTGTGGGGTTGTGGAGATTGTTGGTTTTTGACTGAGATCATGAATCGATCAAATTTAAGCGAAAGTTCTGATGATTTTATAGAGAAGAATGTTTATAGGCGGTAGATTGATGGTCAGTGAGATCGTCAGTGAGATAACGATACAAATACAAAATCTAATATTCTCCGTTTATGCAGGTATGGCCGATACTGTACAACATCCTGGATTGTTAACGGCTTATCTGTTGTCTCACTTCCAACTAACACTATGCTTCAACAGTTCGAAATGTACACAAAGTGGAACTTACAAAAGTTTACTTCCACAAACCAAGTCTATCTGTTTTAT